TAGGCTTCCAGACCAAGAAAGAGAACGGTGGATGGACTTCGAGGTGAGATTAGAGTGGCATTTGTACAGCCTGACCAGGCAGGGCATGGGAATGGGGGCAGAGTGACGGAAGGACAGGGAGGGCAGAAGGTTCTGACTCAGAGCACCTGGGAGGGGCAGGAGGTGTTATTCGGGCAAAAAAAACCTCCCAGAATGCAGCGTGTGGGGCTCCAAGGACCCTCCAGGTCTTCCTGCATCAGGGCTCCTGGGGCTCTGCCTCTTCCCCCAGCACAGGGACCCCCACGCTGAGCTGCATTCGCCCCTTCCCACCACGTGTGGCCCCAACTCCTTGTCTTGGTGGCCCCATTCTAAATGACATGACCCCCAAAATCCTAGAAAGCATTCCCCTAGAGAGAGTCCCCAGCCTCCCTCCTGGTCCCAAAGGACACCCCCTTGCCATCCTCGACAGCCCAGACACTTGTTCCAGCCCCGGCTCTGGTGCGGACCAAGGGATGAGCCAGTGCGGGTGGGCAGGGACCACGCTGGGGGGTGGAGGCCTGGACTGGGCCAGGCTGGCTGGTGAGCAAGCAGCGGTGACAAACGGGCTGTGCGGGGGCTGAGGGGCGGGGGGCGGACCGCGGCTGATTTATCTGGGTTATTTATGCTGCGGACGAGGCAGGAGAAACGGTTAATGAGAGTCCCGGAGAAGGGGGGTGGGGAGGCCCAGACGTGATCTGAAGCGACTTAGGAGGGTTAGTGTCCCACCACCAGGCCCTTCCCCCACTGCCCCCTGCACTCTGCACCCCAGGCCCCATCCTAGGGCCAGCCCAGACCCCACTCCTGTGGCACCCCCAACCCCCTTTGGGATGCCCACGCTGAGAGAGTGGGTCACTAGGGACTGAAGGAGACCAGGTCCAGGATTGAAGGGCACTGGAGGAACTGGGGAGGGGGCCAGGAAAGGGAGGGCAGGGAAAGAAGAAAGATAAATCTTGGCTGGACAGAAACTGACCAAGTCTGTGGGGCCTTTGGGGTAGGGGTGGGTTGGGGGAGGAGGCCAGTGTAGCAGTGGGTGGGCAGCTGGCAATGTCGGAGCTGAGGCTGGAGAGAGGGCATTGGGGTGCAGATCTGGTGTCAGCCAGGAGCCATCTCCCGGCCTGAGAGGCGGGGGGGGGGGGGCGGGCGG